CCCAGGCGCCCCAAGATTTGAGAATTCTAAAAAGAAATCTAGAGAGAAAATTAATGGAGACCTATGTGAAACAAACAGGGATTGAACCCAAGAAGTGATAAGTGCTCTAAGCACCTCAAAGAAAAAGAGCCCTTCTCGGGGAGATTCCTGGAGCTCTGTTCACATGTCCTCAGACACCCCTGCAGCTGTGACAGGTCTGAGTGACTAAATACGAATTCCTTGCCACCATCCTTGTAGGTTTTCTCTCACCTGGACGGATTCGACTGGGGATCTCATGTTCTGTCGTCCACAGTTCCCCTTGTTCCAATCTGGAGAGTGCATCTGGCTTGCTGGCCATGTACCCTGTGCGTGGGAAATGACAGAAGAGGTAGGCTCTGTGAACTGGGCTGGGGTCTGCCAACACAGAGCAATATTATATTTTAGGAGCCAAGCAATTTGCAGATCGGCAAAGCTAAAGGTCTTCTCTCAGGACGGGCCCATTATACCCTCGAATCTGGGGCCAGAGAGGGGACTGAGAACCTACACTTCTGAGAGGCACACACACGCCAGAGATCTCGGAAGCTGCGAGAGGAAAGGCCACTGATGGGTCCCTCTGAGTGACACAGGGGAGCTGTCCTCACCCACTGACACCAGGTTCCTATAATTCTCCAACATCACGTCCCGGTACAGGTCCTTCTGGGTGGGGGCGAGGAGCTGCCACTCCTCCCAGGTGAAGTCCACGGCCACGTCCTCCAGTGTCAGCGATTCCTGTAACAACACGGTCCTGTATCATGTGAGTGTTCCTCTAGTTATTGAAATGGAAGGAATATAAAGGAAGTTGCTGTGCTCATGTTCACCGCACAGGTGTTTTGATTGTTTGTTAAAGATTAATCTATTTATTTTAGAGGGAGAGAGAGCATGCAAGCGGGGGGCAGAGGGAGAGGGAGAGAATCTCGAGCAGACTCCCTGCTGAATGCAGAGCCCTACAAAGGGCTCAATCCCAGGACCCCGAGATCATGACCTGAGCCAAAATCAAGAGTCGGCCATAACCGACTGAGCTCCAGGCACCCCAGGTGTCTTGATTTTTTTTTAACTACATCGTTATAGAAGCAAAAATACATCCACATTCAATCCTATATATAACAAAATACTCTGTGATCATGCAGTAGCATTCAACAAATCACTAGTTTCTGTAGTAAGTAGCCATTAAATTCTCCTGCTAAACTAAAAACATTTCCAATATATGTATTTGAAGCATTAGCGCTACATACATGAAAAAGCACCTTACTTTTGCTATAGGACTTCGTAATCATTGGAATTTTTTTTATCTTTAAAATATATTCAGGGACTTTTACAGGATTAAATTTTAAAAGGAGGCAGTAGGAATTGGCTTTGAACATGAACAAGAAGCATGTACTATCTTACATAAGAGGAAGTTCAAAAGCAAACCCTCTGGATCCCAACAACCTTGACAGACAACAGTACCTTCAATCCCCTACTGCTGTATCTGAACTCAAACACCCAATTTAGCCACTTGTTCATACAGGACCTTTGAAAGTCATTTTCAACCTTCAACCCTTCCATTTTCTTAGGTCACCTAGGTTTTATTTCTAGATTAGCCCTGACAGCTACAAGGCTGGGTCCATGGGTCACCGTTATGATGCCAGGAAGAACTGTGCCCACTGAGTTCTCTTGGTCTATTCTCAAAGAGCTCTTCGAGAAACCTTCTTTTGCACTGCGGAGAAAGCTGAAGCTAAGCACAAGACACTGTCTACCATATCATGTCTAGGAAGCACCTTTAAACAAAAGTCCTGACACCCAAGTGCCATGAAATATAGAGTGACAGCCTTGTGGAACCAGGCTGCTTTCTCCTCCATGATTGCATATCCTGTGATCATCATGATTCTCTAATTGTGATGGCCACCAGAGGTATCAGACATAAGCTGACAGCTAGCATAGCCTGTAGGATGCTCCAGTCACCTGTGATGTTCTAACATTAGTCATTTAGTGTGGATCCTATGAACAATATATTCCTGATCCTATTTGCCTTGATACTGAAGTTGGAATCTAAATCTATTTCTGCACAAGTCCTACTTTACCAATTTATACTTTTCCATTTAATTCAATTGAGTTTTAAAGTCCTCCAGATCAATCACAGAATGAAGTAAAAGAATAAAACTAAGTCACCTGGTCCTTAATCATTTTCTTCTGTGACTGGAAACACCCAGTAAAAGGGACTTGTGTGTTTAGTTTCTTCTTGAATTCCCCTCAATTCCTGAAATCTTGGTCTCTGCTCAATGGTGTCCCCACAAATGACCACACACTGGTCCTGAGACCTTCTTGCTTTACTTGTTGGATCTTGCTCCTAGAGTAGGACCTGTGGGCTGAAAAGTAAATTCACTTTGAGTACATATTTCCTCTGGACCAGGATGTTATCCCTGCTACTGCCCCTCACCGGATTTCAAGGCCATCTGTCCCTTTATTTGAAATCCCAGAGGCTACTGCACTCTGGAGCAATGAAACAGCAGATTGTGAGTATGTGAGCATTTTCTTCTATGAAATGGAAGTGGAGTCTGTGAAAGGAGAGGAGAACCAGCACAGCATGACGCCCCACAGCAGAGTGGCTTCTCACACAGTCAGTTTTTAGAAGGAGAACATGTAAAAGGTGAGGATTTGGACATCTATTCCTTTAAGACCAAGTGTACTCATGTACAAGTTTTTGTACACACCTCAGTTTGAAGACAAACATGCTCAGCAAAGAATTACCTAACAAACCATTTTCACTAATCATCCTGTGAAAGGAAACAAAAGGCAAATCAAGAGAAAAAAGTTAAAGCATATAGAACAAGACTATTCTTTCTGGCTATATACACATTGAGTGAAAGTATAAAAACATGCATTATATAGAACAAGTTCAAGAAAGCCATTATGTTTGGGGAGGGAGGGGGTGGATTAGAGGCCATCACTTAAGTTGCATTTACAGTCAGTTTATTTCTTTAAAAAAGTACTAATGACCAAAATGACAAAACAAAATTAATCATAATCATGTACATCATGGATGAAAATCCCACTGAATGAAAATGGCAGAGTGGGAAGTTCCAAGGCCTGTACCTCCACAGAAACACTGAAACAAGAACTGTCAGAATAGAGGCGCCTGGGTGGCTCAGTTGGTTAAGCGACTGCCTTCGGCTCAGGTCATGATCCTGGAGTCCCGGGATCGAGTCCTGCATCGGGCTCCCTGCTCGGCAGGGAGTCTGCTTCTCCCTCTGACCCTCCTCCCTCTCATGCTCTTTGTATCTCATTCTCTCTGTCTCAAATAAATAAAATCTTTAAATAAAAAAAAAAGAACTGTCAGAATAAAGAACAAAACAAAACCTTTATCATAACTCTGAAAAACAGTCACAGGTTTATAGCAGCAGAGTGATTGCTCAATCAAGAAAGAAGCAACTTAAAAATGGTAGGAAAGCTCTGTGCCATTTTTATTTGCCCCTGCTTCAATCCCTCCCCAGTTTGGTAGTAGTCCTAGAGATGGGAGCCAGCATTCCCAGTGGGGGACTCTGGTTCCTGGTCCTGGAATGAGTATAGAAGACTGTATTTGCAAAGAATTGTGTTTAACTGTTCCAACCTGTGTGAGGCCTACCTGAAGGACTAATGCAGTGCGCTCATCCCTCTAATTTGGACCTCACACAAGATGGAAAAGCAATGGGTGGCTCTCAAAAACAATGTAAGGTGGGGGCGCCTGGGTGGCTTAGTTCGTTAAGCAACTGACTTGATTTCGGCTCAGGTCATGATCTCAGGGTCGTGGGACCAAGCCCCAAGTCAGGCTCTGCATTCAGCATGCAATTTGCTTGAGATTCTCTCTCCCTCTCGCTCTGCCTCTCCCCCCTCACATGTGTACTAAATAAATAAATAAATAAATAAATCTTAAAAAGACACACAAAACAGGATAATCAAAATCAAAATCACAAGAAACAAGTATTGGCGAGGATGTCAAAAAATAGGAACCCTCATCCATTGCTGGTGGGAACGCAAACTGGTGTAGCCACCATGGAAGACATTATGGAGATTCCTTAAAAGACTAAAATAGAACAACCTTATGACCCAGGAACTGCACGACTGGGTACTTACCCAAAGAATATGAAAACACTAATTCAAAGGGATATATGCACCCCTAGGTTTACTGCAGCATTATTTACAATAGCCAGATTATGGAAGCAAACTAAATGTCCATTGACAGATGAATGGATAAAGAAAATGTGGTGTGTATATATATGTGTGTGTGCATGTATATATAGATAACAACACATATATTTATTATAACTATATATAATATGTATGTATTATATACATAATATATATAATATGTAATGGAATATTATTAGTATATGTTACTATTTTATGGTATATATTATATATACAACATGTATATTATATATATAATGGAATATTATTCAGCCATAAAAAAGAATGAAATCTTGCCGTTTGCAACAATATGGATGGATCCACAGAGTATAATGCTAAGTGAAATAAGCCAGTCAGAGAAAGACAAATACCATATGATTTCATTCATATATGGAATTTAAGAAACAAAACAATGAACAAAAAAAAAGACAAACTGGGGCACCTGGCTGACTCAGTCGAAAAAACTTGCAACTCTTGATATTTGGGTCATGAGTTCAAGCCCCATGTTGGGTGCAGAAATTACTTAAATAAATAAATAAACTTAAGAGAGAGAGAAACAAACCAAAAAACAGACTCTTAACTATTGAGAACAAAATGATGGCTACCAGAGGGGGAACTGGTGAAATAGATGAAGGGGATTAAGAGTACACTTATCTTGATGAGCACTGAGTAATATATGGAATTGTTGAATTACTATATTGTACAAATTAATTAACACTATGTTAATTACAATGGAATTTTCTTTTAAGTTTGTACACAAATGTTTAAGGAGATTTATTCATTTATTATTTTTTTTTTTAAGATTTTATTTATTTATTTGAGAGAGAGAGAGCTCATGAGAGGGGGGAGGGTCAGAGGGAGAAGCAGACTCCCTGTTGAGCAGGAAGCCCGATGTGGGACTCGATCCCGGGACTCCAGGATCGTGACCTGAGCCGAAGGCAGTCGCTTAACCAACTGAGCCACCCAGGCGCTCTATTTATTTATTTTTAAAATATTTTATTTGTTTATCTGACAGAGAGAGCACAAGCAGGCAGACAGGCAGAGGGAGAGGGAGAAGCCAACTCCCCACCGAGCAGAGAGCCCTACAGGAGGCTTGATCCCAGGACCCCCGGATCATGACCTGAGCCGAAGGCTGATGCTTAACCGACTGAGCTACCCAGGTGCCCCAGGAGCATTATTTATAATAGCCAAAATGTGGAAACAACCCAAATATTCTTCAGCTGATGAAAGGATAAACAAAATGTGTTATATCCACACAATGGGATATTATTCAGGTATAAAAAAGGAATGAAGTAAACATACATGTTACCACATGGATAAGCCTCTTACATTAAGTGAAAGAAACCAATCACAAAAGTGCACATAGCATATGACTGCATTTGCATCATTTACACGAAATGTCCAGGACAGGCAAATCTATAGAGACAGAAAGATTAGTAGTTGCTACAGGTAGAACTCTAATTATATGCTTGCTGAAACATTTAGGGAAAAATACATAAATGTCTGCTACTTACTTTGAAATACATGTTAAAAAATGTAGATTAATGATTGAGAAGTGATATATGGAGAGATACGGGATAAAAGAAACAAAATCATGATGACAAAATCTAGGTGGTAGGCATAAGAGGTGTTCAAATGTAAAATTCTTTAAACCAGGAACGTTCTAGGGGCGCCTGGGTGGCTCAGTCGTTAAGCGTCTGCCTTCGGCTCAGGTCATGATCCCAGGGTCCTGGGATCAAGCCAATGTCGGGCTCCCTGCTCAGTGGGAAGCCTGCTCCTCCCTCTCTCACTCTCCCTGCTTGTATTCCCTCTCTCACTGTGTCTCTCTGTCAAATAAAATCTTAAAAACAAAACAAAAACAATGAACTTTCTAATAAAAATCAGAGGGAATGGGAAGTTCATAATACTAAAAATTCAGTGAAGTAAGCAGAAATAAAATAAGTATTTTTAATGTAATTGCTCTTCTAAGAGATAGTAAATTGAAAGAGAACAAAAAGATAAACACTTCACAATGGCAAAAAATTAAAGATCAAGGTGGGCAGGAGGAACAGGAAACCACATGCACGGGTAAATGGAGAATCATAATCTACTTTCAAAAGTGATTACTGAATATTTAAGTATTTAAATTCTATGTAGGGGCACCTGGCTGGCTTAGTCGATGGAGCATGGAACTCTTGACCTCAGGGTTATGAGTTTGAGCCCCACCTTGGGTGTAGAGATTACTTAAACATAAACATCTTTAAATTGTACCTAAATGAATGCAGAGATTAAGTGATTCCAGTCACAATGGCACAGATTTGCCTCCTGACGGTATATACTGCTACATTAGTTTAAAAAAAATTTTTTTAAAGAAAAAACTTACGTTTATTATATAGTATTTATGACATGAAACTAAATATTGAGGCAAATTATGCCAGTGTTTCAGCAGGTTCTTGGAATTGTGAAACATAGAAAAAATAAAGACTGAAGAGGAAATAAATGAAAAAAGTTAACAGATACTAACATTGGGGAACAGAACTGGGTTAACAGCAATGTTAGTTTACTTGTGTTACAATGGCACCGAAAAGAAACTTTTCCAAGTGTGTGTGCGTATGCTTACACACAGAGAATCTGCAGAAAAGGCAAAATCCTCATCTTTAGTAGAAACCACTTTGGTTGTCTTTAATCCTCCATCTCCAACCAAGCTCTCATAACTATGGGGTCGAGAGGAGATGTGTAAAGCGAAAGGCAAACTAGGGGCTTGGACTGGAGGGAAAGAAACCGTGGAACCTCAACCCACCCAGCAATCTACTTCAGCCGTCACAAACCTCTCAAGAGCCGACACACCTGGACCTCCCCCACCCCCGAAATAATCCCGAAACACCAGGGTTCGCTGGCCGTGCGCCCCAGCTCGTCACTGAGCCGCAGGGTAAAACCCGAATCCGAAGTGGACAACACTTTCACTGATAAAAACCACCCGCTCCCTAGTCTTCAATCACCGGGCGCTACAGACAAACCAAACCCTGACCACGGACTCGGAAACGTTCATCTCCACACACCTGTAACAACTGACCCCCACAATCCTTCAGGACCGACTCCAAAGCCACCGCACCCACAGACACCCCGTCACGGGCTCCCACTTGCTTCCTCTCCCCAACGGACCCCACTCCTCCACCCACCCGGGAACCCACAGACACCTTGGTCCTCTCATCCCGCTCCACAAGCCGAACCATACACAGACCTGATTTTCTAGTGACCCCACCGCGACCTCCTCCAAGCAGCATTTCCGCGAATACTCCTGCCGCGCCCATGCCCGGCCTCCGCGACGGCGGCCGAGAAGGACCAGAGGCGTTTCTGCGGAGCATGGCCGTCTGGATTTCCGGCTTTTCCCGGAGTCAATATGTCTGCGCCCATCTGGCTACCGGTCCCCGAGGCGGCCATCCTTCAGTAATCGACGTACGGAAGGCGAAGTGGCCGTTTTGGTCAGAAGAGCCAGGTGAGGCTCCGTACAGTGAAAACCTACCGAAAATAATCCCATTTCTCTCACCTTAAATCTTGCGCTGCAAACGGCACTGATTTTCAGAAGCTCGAACTTACACAAGTCAAACATGGGGTAGGGTAGTCCACCTCAGCGGGTTGGCGAGAAAAGTAATCCACTTTGCACGAAGAAGGATTTGGAAAACACACAAGGCGAAGCCATCTTTGAAGTTAGGTATCCCGGCGCCCGGGTGGCTCAGTCGTTAAGCGTCTACCTTCCGCTCAGGTCGTGATTCCAGGGTCCTGGGATCGAGCCCCGCATTGGGCTCCCTGCTTAGTGGGGAGTCTGGTTCTCCCTCTGCCCCTGCTTGTGTCCCCTCTCTCGCTGTGTCCCTTTCTGTCAAATAAATAAAATCTTTTTTTTTTTTTAATTTTTCTTTATTTATTTGACAGAGCGAGCGAGAGCAGGAACACAAGCGGGGGAGTGGGAGAGGGAGAAGCAGGCCTCCGGCTGAGCAGGGAGCCCGATGCTGGACTCGATCCCACGACCCTGGGATCATGACCTGAGCGGAAGGCAGACGCTCAAGGACTGAGCCACCCAGGCGCCCCTGTCAAATAAATAAAATCTTAAAAAAAAAAAAAGTTAGGTATCCGTACAAAAATAAAAAATCTTTCAACGGACTAAAAAGAGCAAACATAAAGGCCAAAGGACAAATACCCTGGGAACGCTTCTGACTGGATATGGAGGCTGAGAGGAAGATTTTTGAGGACAAAAAAGTATCTGGAGAAGCACTCACGGTACAGGGAGAGTGATGATGCCATCCATGGAAGTGAAAAAACAGCGACTGGGAGAAACCAAGCTCTCCCTGTGGGGAGACACAGTTACGGCCCAGAAAGGTGAGGAGAACAGTCCCAAGCCAATGTCCAGGTGGCAAGTTATTCACACGTGATAGCTGGCTCCCACGTGGAGCCCGTGCCAAGGGCGGGGCTTTCTGAGAACCAAGGGCCAGAATTTCTGGAAGGAATAAATAAAACAACTCCAGGGAGAATTTAAAAGTTGTACAAGAAAGGAAAAATAATCCTAGTACACTACATGGCTGAGCTATAAATAGTATTTACATAGTCATCATAATGTAAACACCAAATCTAATCCAACCAAAATTAACATATAACTCCTGGAAGAATGAGGAAAAGTAAATCCCTATGTGCAGAAAACTGTATTTGCAGGAAGAGTTATTCTGAAGTTTCCTTTATGATAAATCTATGGATAAAGCCCCCAAATTAAAAATCCACTGTTAGTATATCCATATTACTTAAACTATCAAAATCTTTAAAAGAATAAAAATCCTTTCAAAACTAACTCAAGCTTAAAGAGAATTGCAAAATAAAACAGAATCATGGGGCGCCTGACTGGCTCAGTCAGAAGAGCATGCGACTCCTGATCTCTAGGTTGTGTGTTCAATCCCCATGTTGGGTGTAGAGATTACTTAAATAAATTAATTAAAACTGAGAACCACATGAGGCAGCAATTCCACTCCTAGATATTTACTCAAAAACAATGACATGTCCTTAGGAAGACTTACACAAGAAAATTCATAGCACCTTTATTCATAATAGCCCCAGACTAGGGTGTGTGTCAATATAGGAGAATGGGGGTAGAATAATAGTTATAAATACACACAAGGTAAACAAGCAGCTTATAAAATTAAAGAAAAACTGAAATAAGATTTTTTTTAAAGATTTATTTATTTCAGGGGCGCCTGGGTGGCTTAGTCCATTGAGCATCTGCCTTCAGCTTGGGTCATGATCCCAGGGTCCTGGGATTGAGCCCCGCAGGATTGAGCCTGCTTCTACCTCTACCTCTGCCTGCCGCTCCCCATGCTTGTGCGCTCTCGCTCTCTCTCTGTCAGATAAATAAATAAAAGCTTTAAAAAAAACCCAAAAGATTTATTTATTTGAGAGGGGGCAGGGTCAGAGGGAGAGGGAGAGAGTGTCTCAAGCAGAATCCACATGAGCGTGGGACCTGACGCAGGGCTCGATCTCCCAACCCTGAGATCACAACCTGAATGAAACCAAGAGTTGGATGTCCAACCGTGCCACCCAGGTGCCCCTGAAATAAGATTTTTATTCACCCTTAAGATGGGCAAAGATTAAAAGATTGCTGAGATATTGAGGAAATAGGCATTCTGATAGACTTGGCCTTTTTTTCCCCCCATGTGTGAAGTGAGGGTAATATTTAGTTTCACCATCAATAGCTTTTGATGTGGGGAACAAAGGCAAAAGAAAAAAATAAAATTTCCTTAAATCTTACATCCATTGACAAGTCTTTGAGAGAGGCAGAGTGACCTTCCTCTAGGAACTCAACTGCCTCAATGTTAATATTTTGCTAAGGGCAAAAGGCAGTCCTAGCTTAACATTATCCCAACTTCCAGGATCTTATAAGTCTCCTTTAACTTATAAAAATTCCTTTGGAAACTTCCTTTATCTCCACCCACCAAGATATATGTTAGCAATCATCCACCAAGCATATGGCCCACTGATGTACATCTGAAGGGTCACTGAAGCGGGAGAGTGAAGTTCTTGTCTCAAAGGGTTGAAGAATGAATCTCACGGATAAAGGAGAGTAAGTAAAGTGATAAGAGTTTTATTAAGCAAGGATACAGGAAAAGCTCTCAGGAGTAAGGGGGTTCTGACAGGGTTGCCAACGTGGGCCTCCACCAACAGTCTTTTATTTAGAACTAACCAGGGAGCTTGTGGCCTTATCATTCTTGT